TTGAACATTTACTGGAACCCGCTATGTTTCTTTGTAAGGATTATTATGAAGTTTTGGGATCCAATATAAATATGATAATTTAAATTCATCTTTGTTGTTTGAAATATTAAAATATTCAAAACTGACACATGATTTGGAAGAATTTCTTCCTTAGAATTAGAACTATGATTACCAGTTAGATTAACTAATTCTTCTTTTTTTTTAATCTGGCCCATCGCTTGGCATAATCTACAGAATCAATAATATTTATCAAATTTCGACGCTATTTGAAGGAGCGGGGTTCCTTATATTTAGGACTTTTTAATCTCATTATACCCCCCGCTTGAAAAGCGGGAGGGTATATAGTGATCGGGATTTCCGTCCGTCCGTCCGTCCGTCTGTTACGCTTTTTCTCTTATCCGCAACTCCTCTTATACTACTGAGTGAAATTAAATGAAACTTTCACAGAATCTTTATTACATATTGCCATTGTGCACCTCCTATTTTACTTTTTTATTCGACGCGTATTTTAGGTTTCCCAGAGCAAAACATGGACATTGTCATTTTTTGTTTACCTATGACGTCACATAATAGAAGCTTCTGGATAACATTTCATAGGACGAGTTATTCCTCTTTACACATTACCGTAAAACAATATAAAGCAACACATCGACATTATGGGAGGCGGGGGGTATCATTTAGTGAGCTCATTGCTCACAGTACCTCTAGTTATTACCTAAATTTACGTCACCATTAATAATATGTCCAACAGGGCAGAAAAACATAAACGAACACGATGGAGAATCATGTTTCTTAAAATTAAGATCACACGACACGTTCCTCAAATATATGTTTTGTATCTCTTGGTATTATATCAAAAATTATTCATATTTGTCATTCTCTTCTGATTTCTACATTGTTTTTAAAATGTTTTTAAATATAAGTACACCAGAAATTGTGTTATAGGCCATATAGAAGATTACCTAAGGGAAATATAAGAAATATGACTCAATTGTATCTTGTCCAAATGCCTGGTAAGGTAGCCTAATTTTTTAGGAAACTTATTTAAATACCTTTACTTCAATGACAAATTCTTAGAAAAAATTATATATTTTTGAGGAACGTGTCGCCTGACCTTAAAAAGTTTGGAAGCAATAGTTGATGTACATTTTTAGGAAATATAAGATGTCTTTAACTTTGAATATGGTGGAATACAAGACTGGACACTTTTGTGATTAAGAATATTACTTACATTAACCGCGTCAATTCTTTTGTTGGCATATTGAAGTTTAAGAAAAAAGCAAAGCAAGACTGAGCAAAGTTTGGTTCGAATATGATGTAGACCTATCTGTTGATTTATATAAGGTAGTAATGAATCAAAAAATACATCGTGTAGTAAAGGTTTATTAAAAACCGATGCCCATAACTGTACGCTTACATCTCTGTCTATGGTTGAAATGTGCAATTTGCATTGCTAAACTGTGGACTGGAAGGATTTCCTACACCATCAACATTGTTGTTAGGGAAGGCCTTCCCTAGTTTTCCAATCCAAAATACTAGTACTTCTTGTTGTCTACGGAATAGTGTACTCAGTGATGGACTGTTTGTGTGGTGATAAATCTTTTCTAGATTTCTGACTTTCATCGACATGGAATGTTCATGCAAATTAAAATGTTTGTATGAAATATATAGAGATAACGAATAGTATTCAAGATCAAATGTCCATAAAACAATACAAAATAGGAAACACGGACCTCCAAAAATCTGAGGTGGGATCAGGTGCCATGGAGGAGTGTGCATCCCCCGCCGACCGGTCACATCCGCCGTGTACTCCTTGTAATGATCGGAAAATAATGGGAAAATTCATGGCCTAACAATTAGTATGAAACGTCAGTCACGTCACTGCCAGCATTTGCCTCAATGATAAATTGTATCTGCTAACAAGATGAGAACTGTTCTCTTAATAAAAGAAAAACGTCTGGTTTTATCAAGTTTTATTTCATAGATTTTATTTTAGAAGACATGAACACCATCTTTAACCCTAGACGGCGTAGCACAAAACTTGATGTATGTACTATCAATGGAACTCTCTTAGAAAATATCAAAACTTCGTTCAGCATGTCCAATATACGAAAAATTAAATAAATTATAATCTATACTTAAAGATTATTGCTAGCAATTGGATGTGCGTTGTGCCTTAAAAAAGAAATGAAGTGTGTCCTCGAACAAAAAAGTCATTGTCCACGAACTTTTTGGAAATGAAAGAATTGCAGGATACAAGTAGTTAGCCATCTCGCTATAAACCTTTTTTTCCTTCTGGAAAGCAGTATGACCACAAATATAATAGAGGATGTAATTACGACTGATAGATCACGAACCCGATGTTTGATGGATTGCTGTCATATGACTGCATGCTTCTACTCCATTAGTATACCCACTGATCGGAAGGCATACTATCAAAGGTGGTGATATGCATGCAATATTATAGGGAAGACAGTACTTCCGATCTTTGTACTTTTGGCTGAAAAATAAAGTAGAAATATCTTCAATTATTGCTTATTTATACGGTTATTTGCTTTTATTTAAAAACCCCATTTAATTGCATAAAATCTACATGTATTCTCTCATACTGTAAAATTTAAACAATTGGTTTTATCAGGGTAAGAACAGGGTAAATTCAGTTAGTTTATATGCTATTGATCTGACAATTAATCAATAATCTTAATTAAGGAAATGAATTTACCCGGGGCCAAGTTACCGTAGTTATAAGAAAGTAAATCGTTTATTAGAGTAACGTGTTATAATTAACATTCAAACACCCGGCGCATCGGACCTATATGTCACTTTTAACAAAAATAAATGAAAAATACAGACACAAATACTTTGCATAATGATTTTGTACAATAAAGACTGTCTGTGCATGTATATGATAAATATAAATATTTGAGATTAGCCTAAGAAAATTTCTTTTAAGGAAAATTACACTATCTAGATCCGATAGACAAAGTTGGCTGCATTTAATACTAGTAATTAAATCTGATCTGTACTTCTAATATTCTGTACAATTTAACAAAAAATGGCACTCGTCTTCTACTTCATCTTTGAAACAATGATTACATAATTTATCTTCTAATGATTCTTCTTTATATCTTCCAGTTTCGACTCTTATTGGTAAAATTCCATATCTAAATTGAACAAGAATAGATCTTTGAAATTTTGGAATGTTCATTTCCAGGTAGTTTTCAGTATTAAAATGTGTTTTGAAAAATCTTAATACAAACGTAATTTAGGTAGTTGCTTTATCTTTACTAGCCATTCACTCTAATAATTTAAAAGTAATTTTCGTACAAATTCAACAATGTCAAACAGTAATAACTTATATTCATAATTCACCAATTCAAAATTTAATTTGCGACGCCCATCTATATTTATTACGTACATGAATTGATTTAAATGGATTGAATTGCCAAAGGTCAACATGTCCAAAAATTTATTTTAACAATAGGTCCAAAACTATGTGTTTACAAAGTAAACACTTTTACAGTTCATAAATACGTATATCAATGATTAGCAGATAGAAAGTATCAATGGATAACAAATACTTTAACAAACTTTTTATCGAGAAAAAATCTTTTTAAAAAAGGCATATATTTTTTTAAATATACACCCAAGCAATTCCGTGCTTTTAGCGAAAGCCATAATTGCAGACACAATTTTTATCGATTAAAGGCAAGTTGGACTTCAATAGCCTCTGGAAAGTTGTTTTCCCTGTTTATTTTGTCCAAATGTTAAGATTTGAAACAGAAAGTACATTGGAAATGGTTGATTTTATAGGGGTCTTTACACATTTTATGCTCTCAATAACATACTTTCAGAGACCTTTCACGTCCAACCTGCCATTCATTGATCAACATTTATTAGTTCTGCAATTATGGTTTTCACTAAAAGTACATATTTTAGCAGGTGCATTTCTTTGAAAAGATGCAAATATATAAATATTTTTATTTGATATTGTTTTCAAGTCATATTTTCTATTTGTTTATCAATGATATATTTATAAACTGTAAAAGTTTTTTAACTTTATGCCTCGCATAATTTTGGAGCTATTGTAAAAATAAATTTTTGGACATCTTGGCATTTGGCCAAACCTTAACACGGTGTATTGGCATAACTTGGGTTGCGGCAGTTAATGCTTTATAAACCACGAAGCCTAAATTGTTCCAACCTAGCTTAATTCATTCCAGAAAATTTTATTTTCTATCAATGAGTATGGAAAATGAGAAAATATATCTTTCAAAAAATGCCTTTCAATAAATCTTAATATGAAAGTTAAGACAAGCGAATTGGGTACATTTTGATAATCATTGTGACATAGGAAACACGGGTTATAAAATATATATTTTTTTATCCAATTAAATGGCGTGTGACACTCAGTATTCATTTATCACAATTATATTTTTTTGAAAACAAGTGCGGTCTCAAAAAGTTTCTTTCAAAGATAGTACTTTTAAAATAGCCAAAACAATCTTCCTAAACGTCTATTGACAAAATGTTTTTTTCTAGAATGCTGTGGCTATTGAAATTGTGAAAGAATTCATTTCTCCGCCTTATAAATTTCTTGGACTAAGACTGTTTCGTTTTGTGGGTGTGAGAGGATTGTATTAATTTGTATTAATTTCTATTGCTGTTACTGTACCCATGCATTGTTGTTGTACGCTGTAGGAATTGACATCTCAAAATATTCTTACATTCTTTTTTTTGTACTGCATGGACACAGGTCAATGAAAGTAATTAATATTAAACAGTTAATTGCAAACGTGTCCAAATTTTCACTGCTTGTAAATTAGAAAAAAAAATGCATGAATATTGCACAATATTTGCAAATTGTAGTTTACAGGAACTTATGGTGTATCACTGAATGAAATTATCATCTATCGTTTGGGAATTAAATTACTAAATCTTGATATTTTTTTTCTTTCAGACAATGATTGAGCCCCAAACCTGAGAGTGCACCAGGTGAAGGGGTCCAATCATACGCTGAGGGATGTCCAATGCTGACGATAACATCGGTAGTGTTTACGGTAATACCTTTCACACTGTATGTAAGTGGCTTGTAAGTTGGACCCTAGGGTGATTTTCAAGAATCATACAGTTGGTCAAGAACTCGTTTCAATCGCTATCTTTTCATAGATAGGATTTTACTTGATTTATTGATATTTTCCCAGTCCGAATTTCTATGTGTTTAGTGTCATAATTCTTCATTTTTTTTTAGATTTGTGTATATGTTTTTTTTAATTATTAAACGCATCAATTATATCCAAACTTAAAAATATAAATTGTAAAATAAGATTCAGGTCTGGGTCTTAGATTCAAATTTAAGTAGCGAGCGTTAGCTTTACCTCCTTCTTCGAATAGGTATTGCAGTATTAATTTATGCATGCTTGTCAGAGAAGCTTTTTATAGTAAGCTAAATTCACCATTCTTAGATATAGTCTTTTGGTATGTCATTTTTTAATACCATTAATACATGTAACAATATACCAATCTAACATAATTAAGAGTTTTAAATATTTATTGTTCTAGTTCAAATTTCTTAATTTAAAAAGAAATTAAATTAGTTTTGTATTTGGAAGTTTGATACTTCAGATTTTTCCTCATTTTCAGATAAACCGTTATTCATTTGAACCTTTTTTTTTGCTTAATTTCCAATTAATTTTGTGATACCTAACTACGTATAACTTATTGATAATATGAACGTGTAACTATATGTAGTATAATGTATATTTTTAATTATCTTCTATCTATGGAAAGAGCTTATACAGCTCAACGAACTTTTTAAACTTACATGGTTTTCGCACAAATTAAGGTCACATTGTTATGATGCAAAATTGTGTAACATGACAACAAAATATGTTTTCAAAAGTGATTTGTAACTTAATTTTGATCTTATTCTAATACTTTAAACATAATTCACACATAATAATTCGAAGAATTATGACAGTTTCCAAATGTTTTTTTTCATGGTTTCTCGTCAGATGCACTCGTCTTTGCATCTGTTCATTTTAAAGCATACTTTTGCCTTGCCTCAATATAGAAACAGTAAAGTTCATGTAAGTTCTGTATTTTTTGTACATTAATATGATACTAAGGCGCAAGATGATAGAAGAATTTTCTATCTGCTCGACTGCTTTAATGTTAAAAAGATGGCATTTTTCAGTTTAACTTTCAGAAATCTAGCATCATGAAATATTCCTTCCAACGCAAAATTTCTAAGTTTCGGGCCATAAATGCAAAAGAATTATCTTTTTAATAATTACAATTTACTATGTTGAAAGATAACAAGATACTTTATTATCCTATACGTTGACATGATTTCTTTATGCAGTTTTGTCATTTTTCGATGCTGCATTTCGACAAAACCAAGACAAGTATAGAAAATATGCAAAGTACTTAGAAATTACTCATCTGTAAGAAGTCAACTTTAACATTTCAACCAAATAGTATCAAAGAAAGTTCAATTAATTTATTTGTAAATACCTATGGTAGAATCATACGCATTTAACATCATACACTTTACATGTATAAACAAATTCCGTTTTTGAAGTTTAAGGACAGACGAGACGTTCCTTAATAATAGATAAATTTTTCTAAGAGTGTGTCATTGAAGTGTTGCTACTGAAACATGTTTACTCACAAAAAATTGAGGTACCTTACCAGGCATTTCTGCAAGATACCAGGGGTAGTTTCTTATATAATCCTTTGGGGAAGAAAAATAATTTTCCAATTTCAAATGTTTAAGTGTTTGGATTTTTTAAAAACGTCTAGAAACTGGTTTAGAAATCAGAATTTTATAAAAATTTTGAATATTTTTCATACATTACGAAGATATACAAAGCAGATTTTGAGGAACGTCTCGTCTGACCTTAATACACACTCAGCGTTCAATAAAACGTCAAGATATTAAACGCTACAATTCTCTAGATTTTTGGTAGTATTTTATTAGCTATATCATAAAACTTAGTGTTTATACTGCACTATAATTCAACATTGTAAATACGCATGGCTTGCATATATTATAGGGTGTTAATTTCGGAAGCGTATGTATTAGGTATATATACGTTTTATGTAATATCTTGTACACTGTCATTTATTGGTGTCGTGTCAACATTCAAAGTGTTGAAAATTTATAATCAAACACTTATTATGCATTGTATCCAGGTGTTTTACATATTAAAACATCAAACATCGTCTTTAAATTGAGTGATGCTACAGTTGCATGTATCAACGCACTTTCATGACTTTGTTACATAAACTGTATAATTACATCACAAGATGCAAATTATATTGACGTAAAAAGGTTGATTTAAAAATTTTAATTTTAGCAGAAGATTTGAATATAAAGATTAAGTAATCTGGACATGCAACATAAAAAAAATATTCCTTTCTTATGACAGAGCAGAGTTATAAAGACGACAATATTTGGTTCATTGATTTCTTTTCTTGATAGTCCTTTATCAAGCATATTGGCAATGTCCATGATTCAATATAGGAAATCAACTTATCTGTCCTATCAAAGCGTGAAATAGAAAGTGCAAAGTGACACAATAAAATAAAGATATTGTGAAAGTCTTATAAAATATTTTATTCAGTTATATAGAAGAAGTTGCGAATAAGAGGTGGATACCCTACTGTTAAGTAAAGAATTAACTTAAGTAAAAATAAAGTCCATGGTTCGGTTGCGTATACTGTATTTCTAGTGGAAACGTAAAGAGAAGCTGCATAAATCATTAATAAAAATTCTGTAAAGACTTATTATATTTCAAAGAGAAAGTGTGGGGGAAAAGGATAGTTACCCAAATTACATGGGACAGAAAGGACATACGGACAGAAACCCTAGTGACTGTACATGTGTATACCCCTACTTTCTGAGGAGGAAAAATAAGTATTGCTGGACTTTATAGTAGATTCCTTTAGATGAAATGCTTAAGTTTGATTTGTACATTTTTGAATGTTTTTTTTCTTTCTGTTTGGTATCGTATTTGCATAGCTTTGATGATGCAGAAAGGCAATCTCACCACTACAGTAATATACTTTGTTTAGAAATGAGATGTGAAAGTGACATGCTTGACCTTTAAGTCTTTTTATACTTGAAAAAGTAACAGAAACTACACACAAAGGTTTATTAATTGAAGTCCAAACCATATGTACATTTGGCTTTTTTTAATAAGATTTTAAGAAAAAAAAACTGTTCTTTCGTTTGAATTATTATTTAGAATATTTTAAGCAATAAAATGTTTGAAGATAACGAACAGAACTTGAGCTCAAAAGCCCATTAAACAATACAAATCAGGAGCAGAGCAAACAAAGACCTTTTAAACACCAGAGATGGGATCAATTGCAATGGAGGAGTGAGTATTTCCTAGAACTCCTTGCTAGAACATTTTGGTGTGACCGGTCGGCAGGGAATGCCTGATACCATCTCTGATATTTTGGAGGTCTGTGATTGGCCCGTTCCAAATTTGTTTTGTTTTAAGGTCTTTTGAGCTTGAATACTGTTCGTTATTTCCATATACTCAGTATTTCATTGTAATTCAAATGAGCAGAAATACATTACTACCGTAAGTCTGATAACATTTTCTCAGTTACCCAAAAAAATCATATTATTTTCATATAATTCCAATCTTCATTTTATTTATTGATTATCTGTGTTTTGATTGGACGAGAGCACGTTTTAGAAAAAGTTTACACATCGATGAATTTTTCAATCAGAACTACTTTCTTGACGAAGCTTCTGGGCTATCGTATAAACAATGAAAGCAGTTATTTCTGGTCTTTTTAGCTAAATATTGAATACAAGAAACTTCAAATTTAATTAAATAAAATAAAACTGGCGACAAACAGGACTGAGAGACGGGAATATTATGTTTATGTCACTGTCGGATCACGAGTGTGAATTTTAAAAAATCGCTGATCATGATGTCATTTTCTCGACGTTCCATATAAGGGAAAAGAAACGTACCTCAGACTCTTGCCTTATCAGCATCAATTCATATATTCCCCTACATTTCCCATATTCTCCATAAATCTTTGAACGAACCAGAGCAAATCGAGGACGTCGTCGGTCTGCTACTTTCACTATGAGCGTTGTCGTTAGTCAACATGGCCATGGTCAAGTTCGAATTATTCTGGAGAATACGCGTATTTACGATATTTGTTGACTTAAACAACATTCAATGAGTTTTTATAAGTTTATTTATTGATCGTTTTGACAATTTAAGTTGGATTTTATCGATATTTTATCGATATTCATCTTGTATTCGTTTCAGTATTCCTACGCCGTACAAAATAACGGATTGTATGGCGGCCTCTAAGAGAAATAATTTTAATAATTTCAAAAATTCGTAATTGGAATGCTTCGCACTTTTATTCAGTTTGTGAGTAAAATGGCAGAGTTTACACATCGATAAATTCTGAAAAAAGAACGTTTAATCCTATAATGATTTTAAAATAGTTTTCAAAATGCTCTTTAAATTATTTTTACCAAATATGGCCCCGAGGCACTTCAAGGAAATTCAAAGAGAATAAGACAAGAAACACTTCCCTGGTACTTGAGAATGTTTTATGTACATATGCCTGTAGGGCACCTACATTTTCCTTGGGATGAAACTTTCCATAGTGGCAACAATTCGGTGTTAATATTTGGGGTAAAATTATACCTAATTAAGGAGCTCGTCGTCAGACCTTTTCGTTTCGCACACTGATTTATACCATATTTCCTTTTATCGTGGATTCTACATTCGCAGTATTATGCTAATTGTTGGTAACCCGTCGGACACTAATAAATCAGATGATGAATAGTGTATTTAGATTAATAATTAAGAATAATTCTCAGTCTGAATTAGGCTTTGCAGCTGGACGGTCTGACAGTCAATTCTGGGGTGAATATCACTGGAGTCTTAAAAGTTTTTGTAATTATTTGAAGATCTACACTTTTTAAAATTTACATTTATGTCAGCTTAAGGGGTATGAATTTTATACATGTACTTATTTTTTTTAATTTATGTTGATCAACAAAAGAATAGAAATAAAGTCAGCTGATGCAGAAGAAATTTTCTCTTGCTAAATTTATATAATATTCTTCCTAGGTCAAAAATAATCATGTATTTTTTAAACCACAGTTCTCTTTCTGAAATTTCAGCTCAAACTGACTTGCTGACTTGGCGTTTAAGATGTATTCTAAAGTTATTTTGTGTCTTGGGCTCCTTGCTGTCGGTAAGTTGTAAATTCATATAGTTTTTTTTTTTTTTTGTTTATTGAAATTGAAGTAATATAGAACAGTGATCAATTATTTTTTAAAAAAATTTTAATATATATATACTGTAGAGGTACTTTTTTCCTTGGAAAATCAGAAGTAAGATCAGGTGAATAGGAGGAGTAAGCTCCCCCTTTAGACCGGTTAATCAGTCTTTTATATTGATTAGGTAGACGGAACATTTCTTAATAAAATATTGGTTTCTTTTACTATATGCCTTATATTTATATTAAGTACGCTTGGACAAATTTCCGAAAGTTTGTGACCGCGTACATAGCGTAAATTAATACCACGCGGAAAATAGTACTTCTACAGTATATATATATATATATATATATATATATATATATATATGTGTGTGTGTGTGTGTGTGTGTAAATTCATATAGTTTTTAGGGGTCATTTTTTTGTTTAGGGAAATATGAAAAGGGTGAATATAACGAACAGTGATCAACCTTAAAAAAATCTTACATACAAATATCTAGAGAGGGTACAAACACGATTCCTTGGAAAATCAGAAGTAAGATCAGATGAATAGGAAATCAATTACATCTTTTATATTGATTGGTAATTTTTCTTAATAAAATATTGGTTTCTTTTATTTCGTCGATAAAGAATCGTTGAAAAGTAATATACGTATTTATTACACACTTCGTAATAAATACAGAATTTTTGCATATGCGATATGCCTGACGTCACAATAGCCGTATCAGCCCTGTAGGGCCTATATGGATTTGCGGGGCTGATACGGATATATCACACCCCTAGTAAATTAAACCTAAAAAACAGTACTTAATATCATACATATATTTTAGGGGTTACATATTCTCTTAATTTTAACTTTTTGAATGTAAGGATAATTTAATTGACAAATAATATATTCTATTCAAATTACGGATCGGGCATATTTGAAATAGAAGAACATATAGAAACAAACCTAAACTGTATGAGACAAAAGACTGAGTATATGTTATCTGTCAGTGCATGATTATTTACTTATTTTCTTCTCAACTTAATGTGCACTGTATTTTATTACTAAGTATGTAATAAACGTAATAAAACGTACCCTTTCCCACATTACATCTTATATCAGCCCTCGACCAATATCAGCCTTCGGTGCCTTGGGCCCTCTGGCTGATACAGAATGTGATATGGTAAAGGGTATGTATTATTTATAAATATATATATTTATATATTTTTAAAATTTATATTTCATGGAGAAGATTATCTTGTGGGTTTCTTCATAACAGTGTTTTGAAACAAAATGAATAAGATATTTTTCGAGCAGAATACGAGGGTTGATCCAAAAGTTTGTGGATTTTTTTCTTATTTCATTTATTTATTGCTGAAAGTGATTGAAAATTACAAATGAGAAGATAGACACTCGTTGAATTTTTTAAATAGAAAAACTATTTTACATATTTATGATTAATTACTCTAAGGCAATTGCTTTAAAAACGGATGTTTAAAAGTGCAGGGGAGGGGGGGGGGGCATTTAGTCGCTCATTATCACTTGATTCTTTGTACATAGAATGAGAAAAAACCGCGCCATAGATAAAACGAAAGTTATGTCATTATTTCGATTGCTTGACATCTTATAAGCCTTTGTGTGAGTTTCACTGATTTCACTGGATATGCAGTTAATTACATTTTGTAGTTGATTATTTATTGTTCATTTTTGAATTGTTAGACAACGTCAAACCTCGGTCAAGTTACACGTTTTGTGAAATTTTCGGGAACACTCCGAGTTAAACGCGTACCGGTAATGATACATGCTGGTAAAAATGCATTAAGCTACCGGTTTTCCAGTGAAGTAAGGAATTTTAATGAAATGAAAAAAAATAACTTCCATTGAGGTTGATTAAAGGTGTGGCCGCCTTTTGGAGGGTCTTTTTTCTTCGAAGACAAATTAAGAGGTAAAGAACGTTTATCACTTGCGTACTGGACTTGACATTTCAACTGAAATTGGAACATCGTATGAAAAGGTGGTATTTTTGAAGTATTTTTGAAATATGAGTGTATTATGAAGATACGTTGAGAGAAAGGATACCCTGGCTTTTCTTGAAAAAAAAATGGAGAAAAGGGCAGCTTTATTGCATGGATGAAGAATGAAGATCAGTCGGAGAGAAAGGATACCCTCGCTTTTCTTGAGAAAAAATAGAGAAAAGGGCAGCATTCTGTAGAATTACTTATACAGTCAAATTTGACATGAGGATGAGAGGTTCCTTCAATGTGACGTGACATACTTTTCTTGACGCCGGATTTTACAAATATCCATGTTCAGAAAGCTCGCGTGACCTTATTGGTAATTGGAACGTGGTGAAATGTTCCAGTATTGTTGCATAATAACTTAATATTATGAATATGCCTATTATTTGCCTATTATATGCCTATTTATTTCATTGAATTACGATAACATTTTAGAAAGAAATTCAACGAACTTTTGGATCAACCTTCGTGCAATAACCAAATTCGGTTACCTTCATTACAAACATTTGAAATATTAGAATGATTTTAGTCATCTGTATTTCGAGATGAAAAGATCTTTTTAAAAATTAAAAGTAATTTAAAAGAGAAAAAGAAAAAAAATCCTGTATAAAGTTTCACGAATTATATATGCATGAAGAAACAGTTCATTTGGCCATTTTCAAAGAAAACATCTTTTCTTTAATTATTTTAGGAATCCGTCTTGCGCTAGCAGGCTATGGCGGAGGGACCTGCACCATACCCCAGGCCGGTAGCCCAGGGGCCACGACTGTTTGTACGGGAACCGCAAACGGATTCTGTTTGGTTGATACTTTCACCACTGCGGGTGCTCCTCAACTCACGTCCGCCGTTGCTGCTGGGAGATGTGTCTGTTATTATGGATACACTGGTACAAATTGTCAAAGTGAGTGTTTTTAACTTCATAGAACATTTTGATTTTAAGTCCATTACAACATAAAAACAGCATTCCTGTCAATGCCGAGGACAGAAGTATTACTAAAAATATTGTTTCCATAATTTCTATGGATTTTTGAAATTTTAATCAAAAAGTTACCAAGAATTCAAGTCAGCTTTTAACAAGGAAGTCATCGACTCTTTATAATGTAAAACGATTGTCAACTATTTATAAAATATATGCATGTGTTTTAGCTGTTGATTCTACGGCCACATCTTCCACCTCTTCAAGTGGTACTGGTAGTGCCATTGCAGCACTGGGTCTAGGGCTTGCTGCAGCCTGGGCACTCAGTCAGGGACTTGGAATAGGATCATCCCAGAATGCACTGGGTATCGGATCTGGATCGGCACAGAGTGCACAGGAAGCCTTATACCTTCAACAAGCCATCGGATGAGGAAATGGGAATAATTATGACAATTTTCAAAGAACAAGAGGATTACGATTTGTTAACTTCATATGGAACTTCAAAGGAATAAAGTGTATAATTAAACTGCTCAGGTTTCTGTTTGTTTTCGATCTGTGACAATATTACTTGAATAGTTGATCTTTTTGATATCAGTGCTTTACTTGTCAAGTTATCTAAAACGGGACGAATTTTAATTTAAAGTGGAGTTCAATTGTTTTCAAGAGTGAAAGGGCGAAAATAACACAGTACAGAAGTCAATGATTTCCATTTTGAATTGATCAATGAATGAATGAATTAAATGATGTTAAATTAATATTCTTTTATAAGTATAGAACGTAAATTCCGATATATTTCTTGTATCTCTATCTTGTTGGAATTCTGCAAAATGCCAACGACAAACTTGTGCTCAGTACAATATATATACAATAAATAAACGATGTTTTATTTTATATTGAATATTTAAGAAAGTTGACTTGATCTGCAATTTTGACAATGTTAAGTAATTTATGCTTTTGTATGTATATATCCAAAGAATACCATATTGTCTGGCGCCATATATCTAAAGATTTATTTTTCCCCATATTTTTCAATTGATTTTAATAATATTTTAGCGATAAAGCTACTGTGATATTTTGTGCTGCATTTGAATATTAACAAATCTATATATTTAAAGCTTATCGAGCTTAAATAAATGATTTCAGCTTAAACTTTAGCCAGCATCATACAACATATACATGTAACAAAGAATTCGATCAAACATGTTGCTTTCAATTAAGAACACATGTAGCTCTATAAACAATTCCCAATACTTAATGTTTTTATAAAACACGTAAAATAAGACAAACATTTTTGTTGAAGTTAAAGAAATTGTACGCCTCTATGTGTCAAAACTCTATGATCTATGTATTTCTGAATTTGAATAATGTTTTGGCCGCTTCAATCATTATACAGTACGAACTGGCCCCTGCTGACAAAGCAGGTAACAACATTGTCTTTGTTTGTAAGGCTCTTTAAATCGACAAGTATTTTAGAAGAACTTGGATTTAATTCTGCAAATGGTAGCCCAACTTATACTTAGAGTCCTTTTCTAAGGAGGAAATTCTTCAAAATCATATGTCAGTTTTGAATATTTTTAATATTCCAAAGAACCAAAATGAATTTGAACTATATTGGATTCCAAAACGTCATAAGAATCCTTACAAACAAAGACACATGGCAGATTCCAGTAAATGTTCAACCAAGCCTCTTTCTTTACTCCTCACTAAGATACCAGTATTAAGAGTAGTGAAGGAGAAACTTCAAGAGTACGTACACACTGCAACAATATATTCAATAAGTGGTGTAAATCAGATGTAGATACTTAAAAATTCCAAGGAGCTTTTGGACAACTTAAAATCACAAGATTTCAACAAAATCAACAGCATAAAAACTTACGACTTTTTAATTTTATGCACAACCATTCCCCACGATAAATTAAAGTCCGGCCTTTTGATATCATTGACAGCTGCTCGTTCAATAAAAATGGAACTCGTTAAGATCTTTACTTATCTTGTCATTAGTCATTTGCAAAATTATTTTGTTAAAAAACATTGTACACACAAGTACTATGAAGTTGACATCAAAAGATGCTTGAGTTTCTGATTGACAATATCTATGTCGTTTTTGGAGACCAGGTCTTTCAACAATCTATTGGAATTCCCATTGGTACCAACTGCGCCCCGTTATTATCAGACCTATTTTTGTATTCATATGAAGCAGAATTTGTGCAAAATCTTATGCATGAAAAGAAGAAAACACTTGCTGTGGCTTTCATCTCGACATTTAGATATATCGACGACGTATTGTCAATAAACAACAGTAATTTCCATTCTTATGTCGATACGATATATCCTGGTGAGCTTGAGATAAAAATCCACAGAGTCTGACACATATGTTTCATATTTTGATATTTTACTTGAAAAAACCGTTAATGCCTTAAATGGTAATCCAACAACCAAGCTATATGATAAACGTGATGATTTCAACTTTTCTATCGTCAACTTCCATTACTTATACAGTAATATACCATCATCACCGGCATACAGAGTTTATATAACTCAGTTGATTCGATACGCAAGAACATGCTCTATATGTGAACAATTTATAAAACGGATTAATTATTGGCAAACAAATTTATGAAACAAGAATTTCAGCTCTTTCTTTTTAAAGTCATCACTTCGTAAGTTCTATTGTCGATACAATGACCTTGTCAGCAAATACAATTTATCATTGAGTCAAATGCGGACTGACGTTTTTTATACTAATTGTTAGTCCATTATTTATACAGTGTACATTGAATTGATTACGGGTTTTTCCGTTATTTCCCGATAATGACAAGGAGCACTCGACGGATGTGACCGGTCGGCAGGGAATGCTTAATCCTCCATGGCACCTGATCCCACCTCCAATGTTTTGGAGGTCCTTGTTTGCTCTGCTCCTGTTTTTTTTAACTGGGCTTTTGATCTTGAATGCAGTGTGTTATCTCCATATGCATCATTTGCACAAAAGTGATTAATTATTTTAATATTTTAATTATCATTTCAAGTCTTATATTAACAATACATGTAGTGATAAACTGAGTTTCATCTGCATGATGTAATATTTTTTCTTTGTTTATGACAATTTATAATAAAATCAGAAGTAACATATGCAGTATCCAAAGAATTCATCAATTTCTATCTTTGATAAATTGTACACCTTCATGAGATAAGTATTGTTCACCAAAACAATGGCCCCAATATATTCATATGATACCATATTTACCTGCATACGGAGTTTATATATCTCAGCTGATACGGAAGATACGGAAGAGCATGTTCTACTTATGAACAATTTCTGAAACGAGGTAAGTTATTGACAAAAAAGTTGATGAAGCAATTTACCTCGTTAAGGAAATTGAGATATGTAGAGCATGCTCTTGCGAATCGAATCAACTGAAATATATAAACTCCGTATGCAGGTGATGTGGTTATATTGCTGCATAAGTAAGGGAAGCTGACGATAGAAAAGTTGAAGTCATCACGTTTATCATTAAAGCTCGATATATTTCATTAAAATTAAAAACATCGGCATATTGGGAGCTCATTTATTGATTAATAATTTTCAAACCATCAAAATAAATTAGGACCTATTACCTGCATTTTTTATTTAATAGGTTACTGTTTCTCCAATAAAAATGAAATTCGTACAATTTCATATCTTGTGATTGCTCATCTATGAAATGATTTTTTAAAAAACAAAATCAGGTTTTTCGCACAATTACTGAGTATTGATTTTAATAATATACTAGGTGAACCCTTGACAACATATTTTAAGTCTTTAAAAATCAGTAGTTCAAACAATCTGTAGGAATTCAGATGGGCATAATTGTGTGCCTTTGTTAGCCGAGCCATTTTGATTATTATTTGATCAAATAAAAAGAAAAGGAAGGAAAACTTGCTAGGAGTTGGTCAAGATTGGAAGGGAGTGGGTCTAATTTAGGGCGTTCCTTGTTCCCTAGCCAACGTAATATGCGCTTTGAAATGCCAATTATTTTAGTTTTATTCACTATTCAGTTTAACATTTATATCGCAAAAGAAGTTCCATATATTGCCCCAGTGTAAAATTAAGTCGTCGACTGTAAAAGCCGGCTCTTCTCGCAAAAGTCCAGTGAAGAAGAATTTACTAAAATTACGACAAGAAAAAAAACTCTGTCGTGATTATCAATGAATGACTTCAAAATACTGACAACGTTTTATAATGTTGCAATATTTTTTTCTTTCATATACCCACACGTATATTTTATAGTGATGTTTAAAGTGGCCAGCGAATACTTACTATCCGACAAACAGAATAATATTTGTCATTGTCAATTTTCTCAATTTCATTAGAAACATTCCAGCTTCATATTGCGGAGTTTATGGCTAACAATTTCGAAACGCAAGGGAATGATCTGAGGCAATCAAATTTTCAATCAAAGCCCGAATAAAGACGAATAATGACCCCCATAGAGTAACGAACGGGGGTCATTTTTCCACAGCGAAAAATGACTCCCGGGTCAGTATTCTACGGCGAAAAATGACCCTCGATCATTATTCGACATAGAAAAATGACCCTTTTGTCCGTAGAAAATGTGTCATCACCCTAATTTGCATACCCCACGCCAAAAAAATAAATTAAGAGACTTATTGGCCAAAATGCTCACCTGAGCTATACTGGGAATAAATCGATGATATGTTTATCTCATTAAAGGTACTTGGACACAGATTTGAAGTTAATTTTTTCTGTATAATATCACGAATTATATATTTTAATACCATTTCACACAAAAATTAATTAAAAATCTTATTTCATTAAAAAGATATTAAAACTTTAAAATTTTTGGCGGGTTTGATTGACACATCCTTGCACTTTCACAAATTTTAACTTTATTCTTTACCCTTAGGAAAAATGGCAATCTTGTTGTGTATTATTGGGAAATATTAAAACTTAAATCCAGAAAAATAATTTTATTCAGAGTAGAAATGTTAGAAAGCAAAACTCCTTCACAAGTATCGTCATTCCGTTGTGTACAGAGTTTAGCAAATCGAACACACTCGTGTTATGTACACAGTTTTTGTAAACAAGGCAAGAGCGTGTTATTGTTTGGTGTTTACGATTCACCGGGTGCGATTAATTGCCAAAGTCTGCTCACCACAACTGCACGGACTGACAATACATTGTGTGTTTGTTTTGCTTTCGAACATGTCTACTCTTAATTTTCTGGATTATAGTATTAATATTTTTCATTAATACACAAGAAGATTGTCATTTTTCCTAAGGATTAAGAATAAAGTTAAAATTTGTGAAAGTGCAAGGACGTGTCAATCAAACCCGCCAAAAAAATAAAAATTTTAATAACTTATAAATGAAATAAGATTTTTAATTAAGTTTTGTGTGAAATGCTATTAAAATATATAAGTCGTAATATTATAGAGAAAAAATTACCTTCAAATCTGTGTCCAAGTACCTTTAAATTATACAATTATTGCTATTGTAAGGTCTATATG